CGCTACTGTGACTGCGTATCTTCTGGAATCACCCCTAGCTCGATTCAAGAAATTTCGTCTGCTGTTTTATGACCATTGTGTGTTTGCCAGGGTTCAAATAAAGAATAGAAACATATTGCTTCTCATTAGCGCTTGTTTATTTCCTCTTCTATGAAGGGAACAAAAAGTTCATACTCAGCCGAAACTTTCCCGCGTTAGTTGCATGTAAAATTAGTAAATCTGTGACAGAAGAAACTTCGCAATTATTGCCGCAGACTCCGTGGCACTTACTGACTATGTTTCGGGTAACGTCAGTTCTCTTTTTTTAGTGCAAAGAACGCTACTGTGACTGCGTATCTTCTGGAATCACCCCTAGTTCGATTCATGAAATTTCGTCTGCTGTTTTATAACTATTGTGTGTTTGCCAGGGTTCAAATAAAGAATAGAAACACATTGCTTCTCATTGGCGCTTGTTTATTTCCTCTTCTGTGAAGGGAACAAAAAGTTCATATTCAGCCGAAACTTTCCCGCGTTAGTTGCATGTAAAACTAGTGAATTTGTGACAGAAGAAACTTCGCAATTGTTGCCGCAGACTCCGTGGCACTTACTGAAACCGCCAATTAATCTCATCAGTCTTTGAGGTAACTCGCTCACCGATGCAGAATATAATTTCGGCCAAGTAATGATCTCTACCTTCAATACTTCTCGTTGAAACATTCCTCAGTTGTTGTAATGGAGGAAAATCGAGTTTTCCTGTATGTATCTATGGACACCAATTTGGCCCCCCAAAAAATTCTTCAGGGGCGAGTGATGTCATCTCCATGTTCGTCTATGTGTTCTCTTTCGACTTTCGAGTGTCGGGGCAGCTTATTGTGGACTGTGGGGGATACGTTGTTTATTTAAAGCTTGATTTGGGTTTAATGGCATTTAAAAACCTTTCAAAAAAACCTTGTCTTCACGAAATGTGTACGACTTTTCGTACTAACAGAAAGCTGTAGTTTGGCTGCGTATTGTGTACCCACTTCTCTCCGATCAAAACCAACGCTGCTTTCTGCTGAGTAAATCAAAGGAGGAAGTGCGTAGTTTCACTTCGCTGGCCTAGATTTCTGTGCGGAAAATATGTAACATAAACCCAGCGAAAGTGTTTACATAGGAAAAGAGTTCAACTCGCATAGGATTAGTTTGGTACACCAACATGTCCTCAGTTTCATTGTTTCGGAAGTGAAAATGATCAATAGCTGTTCCTGTCCGAAGTCAAGGCGATTCAAAGTCGTATTCTTAAACAGAATAATTGTCTTAGTTTTGGTGATAAAAGCACGTCGTCTCGTATACCGACGGAACAGGCAACGTTTGTGTCGATTTACTCGGACCAGAATCGTAGGGTTCCGGTCAGTACAAAAGATGGACTGTGGACTGCGGACTGCGGACTGCGGACCACGGACTGGGTATAAAACACGGACTGAGGCATAAAACGCGGACTAAACGCGGCCTACCGACTGCAGTCTGTGTTTTATACTGACTAATATTAACTTAATAATATTCTGTGACTAATATTCTGTGCTATTAACCGTACCATTGAAACAACAAGATACAAGAACATTATGGACAATAATGCAGTGTGCCGCGGTAAACCAGCACAGCGCTAGTAACACGCCGAGAGAACGAACCTATACTAAACACTCGCTTAAATACACCTACCAGGGAAAACCCAAGGGACTACATGACTACCTGCACATGTACGGATTCCAAACGCACAGAATACAAATATATG